CATTCCACTCGTTCACTACCATGTTTTTCACTTTCTTCTTCGTCCCACATGTTATCTCCCATCGGTCCTGGTATGATGGGAGAATACAAGTTCACTATCAACTCCTCCATATACTCTTCTTCCTGCTCTGGGACCGTGCCTGTCACTGGCATGCTTTCCTTTGAGTTGAGTAACACCTCTCCATCTTTTCCTGGCCTGTTTGTTGTCTCTTTGGACTCTTCTTCCTTGAATAGTGGCCATTCTAGTATTTTTTGTTTTTGTGGGACTTCTAATTGTAAAGACAATACTATGCAAGTTTAAACACCATGGGACAACACAGCCATCATACTGCTCAGGAAGGAGATGTGTTCTGTCTCCTAGAGATGAACGCGCTTTGGTCCAAACAGTACAAATCAATCCCAGATAAACAGCAAAGTACCTCATGAAGACACTGGAAGAAACAGGTACCAAAGTGTCTGTATCCACAGTAAAATGAATCCTGTATCGACATAACCTGAAAGACTGCTCAGCAAGAGAAAAGCAACAACATCTGAAGACATCAGCCAGGAAGTTAAAGCTTCGTTGCAAATGGGTCTTGTCCAAATGGACAATGACTCGAAGCAGACTTCCAAAGCTGTGTCAAAAATGGGTTAAGGACAACAAAGTCAAGGTACTGGAGTGGCCGTCACAAAGCTCCGACTTCAATCCAATAGGACATCTGTGGGCAGAACTGAAAAAGCATGTGGTCCAAACCTGAACCACTTCCACCAGTTCTGTCAGGAGGAATGGGATGAAAGTCCAGCAGCTTATTGTAAGAAGCTTGAGGAAGGCATTCTGTAATGTTTGACCGAAGTTAACCAATTTAAAGGCAATGCTACCAAATACTAACTGAATGTATGTAAACTTCTGACCCACTGGGAATGTGATGAAATAAATGTTTTTTTCTCTACTGTTATTCTGACACTTCACATTCTTAAAATAAAGTAGTGACCCTGACTGACCTAAGACAGTGAAAGTTTATAGGGTTAAATGTCAGGAGTTGTGAAAAACTGAATTTAAATGTATTTGGCTAAGGTGTACATAAACCTCTGACTGCAGCTGTATTCCAGTCTGGGGATGTTGCCACTGCACAGTGGATCCCCCCCACTGAGGTGAATCATGCCAAGTATTTCACAGTCAGAGGAATTTGACCAATATCACTTATAAAGCACCAGAAAAATGTTCATTGCATTTAAGGCAATAATTTGTAATGAACAAACATGTCACCCAGTGCAGCGGTATGTTTCACTCATGTGTTTTTAATTGTTTCTAACAACACCAGAGGTCTATGGCACAGATACGATAATCCAGGTTGGAGACTGACAACATTAACTGTGAGCAGAGGTAATTCATTGTTGGCTTTATTCTGTGTATGTGGATTGTTGAAAATGCTATTAATATAGAAAATGACAAACCTTATCCTTTAAAGAGATAAGCTTTTATTGTGCTGTCAATTGTATATGACACAGACCGCAGGTTGCAAATACGAACCATCAGCGCTTTCACATTTGCACGAACATTTGATACCAGAAAGGAACAATACCATGTGTCACTTGTATCTTTCCCCCAGTGATGGCATCATTTGTTGCCAACCAATATCTTAACAGCATACCAAATTGATGTTAACGTAAAGAAATTATCTTGTTCGGTCCTCTCATGAGACTCCAAAGCTGTCATGGTAATTCTGAGTGCTGCTGTTAGATGTGCAGCAAAGTGCCCCTCTCATCCCTAGTGGCCAGCATCCACTGTTGCATACAGATGTAGATGGGGAAAAACAGTGCAGGACAACATTAGCAAAGAACTTTCTTTGTGGTTTGGTAAAGCTAAGAGTACACAATTCAGACACTCAAACTAAAATTATCCCTCCCTCTCAACCTAATCATCACATGAACTGAAAATGTCATTCATCTAATTAGTTTGTAAACAAACAAACAAACAAGGTCTGAGTACTCCCAGCACCCTTTAGAAACAGTTAGTAATAGACACAGATATTAAATTTTTACTGCAACTTAGTCCAATTATGTAATCAACAAAAGACTTTCCAGATTAAAGGTTTTGCTTCTGCTGTATTTAAGTCTACAAAATATTTATGCTGATTTTAATTAAAGACAGCAATACAGATCTTTTGAGGCAGATGTCAGTGGGACAATATTTGACTAAAATCTGTAGTGGAACGGGGAGGGGACAAAGGGTGCAGCTGCCTTAAGTCACAAGGGGCCCTCAAAATGACCAGAAGTAGCTAATTTTCGTTTAAGTTGTTTAAGTAGTTAGTTGAACTACTTTTGCTTGTTTTGAAGGATCTTGACTTAAAAAGACCACTGTGGTAGAATATTTTAAATAGGTGAATTTAATTTTAGGTTGCAACATGTCTCACTTCTTTTCAAGATTCAAGATTTTTATTTGCCATTTATGCATAAACAGACAGTCTAGGCATATAGGAATTCTTGTGCTGCTCTCCTCTGGACTCAGGTAAGGAGTCAAAAGCCAGAAAGAACACTTAGTCTTAAAATAAAAAGTTACATAAAGGCAACAAAGCATTAAAACACAATACACAAAAATAGGGTAATAGTATTTTCCCCAGTGAACTTCAAACATCGCACTTATTAATTCACATGGTGGAGTTGGATATGTCATTACGCTTGGTGAGGTAGTGAGGGGTTATAACATACTAAAACACAGTTTATATTCAGGCCTGTTTCCATTGCTTGGTAGAGAATGTCCTGCTATTATTCAGGTCCCACAAGAGAACACTGTTGATGAGATGCTCTTACTGCAAGTCACAGTCACTTCATCAAGGTCATCTCAGGAAACAGCAGATGCCCTGATATTGCTACCTCCTATTCTGCATGGGTAGATTCATAGGATACAGTTTGGTGTAAATGTGACACTGTGTTGTCTGATGGTTAGGTGGAGTCAACCCAGAGTATGATCAGGATCCTGGGACTATCAGCCACCCTCCCCAACTACCTGGATGTGGCCACCTTCCTACATGTCAGACAGCACTGTGTGTACAGTGGGATGTGTCCATAGCAGGCAGTTCAGTCCCAGTGATCCTCTCTGCAGTCTTTATGACCATTTGAAGAGCCTTCCTCTCTGCCTGTGTGGTGTTACCATACCAGACTGATGCCAGTAGTGAGGATGCTCTCTACCAGTCCTCTATAAACCTGGGTGAGAGGGTAACAGTTCAACCCAGCTTTTCTGAGCCGCCTGATGAAGTATAGCCACTGCTGGGCTTTCTTCACTGTGGTAGCTGTGTTCAGTGACCAGCGCAGGTCAGATGTCACCTGCAGGCCCAGGAACTTGTGGCTGTCAGGCCCCCCCACCTTGCATCAGTATGTGTAATTTAATGGTTGTGTTGTCCTGGTGGGAGACATCGTCGTGGGTGTATAGGGTGAAGAGTTGGGGGCTGAGACAGCAGCCCTGCGGTGAGCCTGTGCTGATTGTGAGCTCAGCCGACACCAGCCCTCACACTC